CAGTGAAGCCGAGGGTGTAGCGCAGTGGTAAAGCGCCTGCCTAGCAGCAGGAGGCCACGGCTGAATTGCCAGCACTGCAACGCAGCACATTTTCTAGACTTTTTTTTTTTTTGGAGGGGATATCAAGAATTGAACTCACAACTCGTAGGCTCTTGTGCCACTGAGCTACATCCCCAGCGCCCAAGACAACGTAGAGGGCACAGGCTTGTAGTCTTAGCTAGTCAAGAGGCTGAGGATAGCTTCAATATAGGCCTTTGAAACCAGCCTGGGAACACAGCCAAAGGGACTGGCTTTCTTCTTCTTCTTAGGTTAAAGGTCTGTTTTCTTCAGTGCTGTACTGTCACTTTGAGACAGTACTCGGAACAGCGTGCGGACTAAGCACGAATTCTAACCCTGAAGTCCTCGAGCCCGGCTAAGCAGCTCCCACATACCTGGTCTTACTAGTTTTTCTCTTGAATGGCTGGGCTTCAGGATCGTGCACTGTTTTTTGTGCCACTGCCACTTAGACTGACATGCTCCATTTGGTGGAGGAATTAATGGCCTTTCTAGTATGTTCTGGTATTGGGGACACCACGGCCTCCAGTATGCTGACCACCTCACTCCAAAATGAGGGATTGTTTTTCTTTCTGGTACTGGGGTTCAAACTCGGGACACTGAGCTTGCCAGGCTGGCGCTTATGCCACTGGGCTATCTCCCCGACACTTAGTGATCTTCTCGTGCTGGTCAAAACTAAGGAAATGTCATCCAAATTTCCTCTGCTTCAAGAGTGGGCTTGGATTCCTTTTCTTTTTTTACATTCTTCCTAGTGGTTAACTGCTGAACAAGATGCGGACATGACATCCTATTTACAAACACTATTAGAACAAATTCCTCTATTCATTAAGAGAATGTAACTATCTAACTTGTATTCTTACGTGATAAATAATTCCACACAGAAAGGGTGGCAGTATCCCTCCTCAGCCTGTCAGCCCTTAACTGTCCAGTCTGGCGAAGGGGTGTGTGAGCGCGCGCGCGCGCGCGTGTGTGTGTGTGTGTGTGCGCGTGTAAACTTGATGCTTTCCAAAGAGTTCGAGCTCTTCGTTGCGTCCCGGCTCTCATCAGGGCCACCTGCCAGCTGTGACCTGGTTGCAGCACTTCCAGGCAGCAGCGAGGGACGAAGCGGCGAAGCGATGTGAGGCTAGGAGAGGGGGTCCCCCAGGATCGGGGAGGAGGGGGCGCCCAGCGCGGCCTGCCTCTCTCAGAGAGCTCAGGGGCGGGGCGCAGGCCCACCGCTCCCGACCCCCGCGCAGGGTCTCCAGCCCCGGCCGCTACTCACCATGGCGGCGGGCCGGAGTCAGAGGCCCAAAGGAGCAGCGAGGGCAGGCGGGGAAGCACCCAGCCTGAGATCACCAATGGCGGCCAGCCGCAGACCGCGAGCAGGAATGCAGGCTGTTTAGAAGCCTCGCGTTGCTAATGGGAACGGAGACACGTGATCCGCAGCTATGCACTTTGATTGGTCCTCAAGATCACGCGACAGGAAATGTTGGGCGACTGGCTGACTGACACATGCGCATTAGCGCGCGCAGCCGGAAGTCCCGCCCTCTAGCCACGCGCGCTTCGGGATGTCGCTGCGGTGACTAACGGTAACAGGTAACCGGTGAGGCTGGCGTCTGAGACCCTCAGGGCGCTTGCGCGCCCGGATTGTCGCGGTCTGCGGAGCTGGTCCAGGCCGGTCGTCGCTCCTGGCGGCCGAGGCGCCGCTCGCGCCGGAGCCTTGGGGCGAATTTCAGACCCCAGAACGCCCACCGGTCGGCGCTGGCTGCCTGCCTTTTCCCCGCCGTTGCATCTGAGCCTGCCGGTGGCCAAGGCAGGCTGGCCGCACCAGCGCTTCCACGTTGCCCCTCTTTTGCGTGTTATCATTTTCTCTGATATTGCTGGTAAAAGCCTTGAATGTAACACTTTCCCTTTTTAAAAAATTGCAAAAACATGGGTCTGCTCAAAGAGCCACGGATTTTAAAAAAATGCATGCTCAGAATCACTAGGGTAGTTGGTTGAATGAATAACGACTCCAGTCTCAGCCAGTGTGGATCTTGCAGCCTCACCCTTGTGGACTGCAAGTTTTGTCAAGGTTCCAGGCTGACCTCAAGCTTCCAGCCACCCTCCTGCCTCAGCCTTCAGTGTTGGCGTTGCAGGTGCGCGGCACCACGCCCCGTGTTAGACCTCACTTTAGGAAACACTGTTCTGGAAAAGTCGGAGGCGTCAGGAGAACATAGAAGGCTGCAATCCAGAGTGCTGGGGGCTGTCCTGAGTGAAAGCCTCCCTGCGATCTTAAACCGCTTCGGGTTTAGGGGGCGCAGAGGACTCACACGAGCCAGACATAGTCCCCAGGGGGCAGTGCGGAAGCCAGGTGTGAGCTGCGTGCCAGGGGCCGACAAGCCCAGAGATGGCTCCCGGCCTCCTGAGAGCGGGAGATATAAAACAGGTTACCTGGCATTAGCCCAGAGTCGTGGGCAGAAAAGCTCATTTTGGGGGTTCTTTTAGGTTGTTTTTGTTTGTTTCTTTTGATTTGATTTGGGGCATTACTACCAAGTGCAGTTTTAAGTGGGTCACAGTTGGGTGCTTTTTAGATCTGGAAAGGCTTTTGGAAAAGGACCCGGTTCTGTCTACCTGTGGGCAAGTTCCACACCTCTCAGCACTCTGAGGCTGAGAGCCAGGGTCAGGTGGCTAAGATCTAAGACCTCTGGGGGGCGAGCCCACAGGCACAGCTGGAGTGCGAGTCGGGAGGAAGCCCATACAAACATGTTTTCAACAGCAAAACCAGAAGCCAGGTGTGAACTGTTCAGATCCAGCGGGCGTCGAGTCACATTTTGGTTTCAAGAATTTCATTTTTCTTTTCGTTGCTTGCCACAGTCGTTTTTTTCTTTTTAATGTTTTTAGAACAGGGTCTACAGGGTTTCACTGTGTAGGTCGGATTCATAGTAATTCTCCTGTTTTCAGCTTCCCAGGCACTGGGATTACAGGTACACGCCACCACACCCAGTCTCAATCGGATTTGTAGTGATTCTCACTACTTAGATTGGACTCGTAGTGATCCACCTGTGTTCAGCCTCCCAAGTGCTGGGATTCCAGGGGTGCGCCACCACACCCGGTCTCAATTGCTGTCTCAGCGCACCTTGGGGTGGGGCTGGCATGGGTCGAATCCCAGCCACTGGGCTCTGCCTAAGCACGTGCTTTAGTCTGCTGAGCTCACAGGCTGGCCAGAATGGGAATAATTAAAGCGGAGAATTTCTAATTTAGATAAAGTTAAGAGCTAGAAGTTTGTTTTAAGGCTATACCAGGTAGTTCAGAATGGCCCAGAGTTTTTCCTGGGACTGGGGGCAGATCAGGAATCGAACTTCACAACTTCTGCCCAGTGTTCCTTGACCAGTTGGTCCCACCCCATGCCCCGGTGCCAGGGCTTTCCCCTGTGCGCTTCCCGCTATCCCTCTTGAGGTCAGGCACCTCCCCATAACGAAGAGCATTAATGGACATCCCAGGCCTGTGGAAAAGGGGAGGAGGGCCATTTCGTATTTGAATGGGGCCAGTGCAGCCTTGTGACATAGAGCCCTTCATCTGCCTTCTCCCAGGTGTAAGCTGGAGCGCTCTGGTCCAGAGGCCTTGGCCTGACTGAGGCCAGCTTCGCCTTGGCGCCAAGTGGCTCTGGACACAGTCTCTGTGCAGCACATGGGGCGGGTGCCCTCGCCCTCTATTCACCTTCCAACCTCATTTAAGTTCCTTGCTGACAGTGGCCACCACTGCTATTTATGTCAGCCCCGGCTTGATGACTTGGATTACAAGAGTCACTATGATTTAGTGCCTGGACATGGTGCTTTCTGTTCCAGTAGTGAATCCGAGAGGTTGGGTTCATTCTTCTGTAGACATTGTGTTCATGGAATGATAAGGTCACTTTACTAGAGAAGAAAGGATTTTTTTTTCCTTTTTGAGACAGGATCTTGCTGTGCAGCTCAGACTGGCCTGGAACTTACTTTGTAGCCCAGGCTGGTCTTGCACTCACAGGGATCGTCCTGCCTCAGCCTCCCGAGTGCTGGGATTACAGGCATGTACCACCATACCCAGAAGTAAACGAAGTTGTTTGTCAGTTTGCCCTGTTGAAGAAACTTCAGTGTTCCCCGAAGGCAAACTCCCGTTCACACCAAGTGTCACTGATGGAGGGGACCAAAGGAATGAGTGTGTGATGTGACCACACGTGGAAATGTCTATGGCTCGGGGAATTTTTAAAGTTCTGCAAAAATTTATTAGCTAATAGTTTTAATGTAAAATTCTATTTTAATTTAAAATTTGTTCCAAAGGTGGGGGCTGTAATTTCACAGGCAGTCCACCCACCAGAGCTGAAAGTTGTTGATTAAGCTGCCCGACTGGTGCTGGCAAATAGGAACTTGTAGTTTCGGTCTTAAAGTGATGAAAATTTGGCTCACGAAAAAGCTGAACTGGTACTTGAGGTTGTTTAGTAGCTTGGGCTGGTCACCAAACAAACAGTTTGAGCTGGGAGAGAGAACTGCTCCACCCTACTTTAGACCCGAGAGGCTTAGGCTGCCTGCTTTTTAAGAATAATTATGAGAATTTTGAAAGGAGAGAATAGGAGAATGAATTTGAAGGTACACGAAGCCATTTGATATTTTTAGCATAAATACAGCGAAGGTTACCAATTTGGGGGCCAGTGCAAGCTAGTGTCAGCAAAAGGGGGCTGTCTTGGGAATACTGGCAGATTCTCGTTCAGCCACTTTGGCAGAGCCCCTGTGTGCGAAAGGCTCTGTGACCGTGATGCGGAGTCTTAGGGAGGAAGCAGAGGGGCTGAGAAAACCCCAGCCCTCCTCACCCCATAGCCCTCTGGATGAGCTAGGGACCAAGGTCATTTCATTTAAGTGAAAATAGGAAGCAGTGAAGAAAAGGAATTAGTAAAAAGTACTACAGGTGGTGAAAAGGACATTAGCATTTTGAATAAAGCCTGCCAAGAATGCCTGCCCAAACCAGATGGACATGTTGGGAAAAGCCTGATCGCGGGGCATTTTTTCCTTTGTGGAACCCATGCTTGTTTAACTGATATCCTTGCAATGTAACTTGAGATGGGTAAACTGCCTTAGCAACTCATGATGTCACCCAACCTTCCAATCAAAATGCACCAAATCTGCTTTTGTATCTCCCCACTTGCCCTCCCTAGAAAAGTCCCAAAATCCTGCAGCAGGGTCTGGGCAAGCTCTGACTCCTTGGGAGGGATCCCAGTTATCCTCTGGTCCAATAAACTGAAACCCTCTCTGTGCTATTTTTTCCCGTGTTTGGTCTGTTTTCTGTAACAGTGGTACACAGAGAAAAGCAAAACTCTTGAGGGTCACATGGGAAAGAGTACAGCTTGGGAAACTGTCTGGTGATAGCGGGTGTCGAGGGACCAGGGGAAATCATTTGGGGGCTCACTTGGGAGAAGGCACATCTTTGGAGTGTGGCTTCTCACTTGTAATTGGATCAGAGACCTCACTAATTTCACCTGCTTGCCCTGTTGTAAAAACTGCCAAGGCATTAAAGCAGAAAAAGCTTTAAAGGGCCAGGATTACAGGACCCTAGATAGGTATTTTGGCTTTGAGAACCAGTTGGCAAGAGACTCTTATCAGGTGACCTCAGAACTCTTGTGCCAGGTCGAGTATGGTGGCTGCTGAGAAATAAGATTCATCCAATCACTGTCCTATGTATTAAAGGAGGTCACTGCAGGAAGTGGCTCACTCTACAGCTCCCCTTAAGATTGTGGGGATGGTGGCGATCAGCCCAAATTACAGATCAGTTCAGTGATAAGTCTCTGTGCGTTAACAAAACCCCAAAGGAAACAAACACAGAAACTATCAAAAAGTGAAGTCTAAGGGCTGGAGAGATAGCTCAGTAGATTAAGTGCTTGCCTGGCAAGTGCAAGGGCCTGAGTTCAATCCCCGGTTCTGCAAAAAAAAAAAAAAAAAAAAAAAAAAAAAAGAGAAAAAGTGCAGTCTAACTCAAGGGTATGAAGAGTTGCTGGCGGGGAATACCTTCCTATGGAGCATGGGACGCAGACCTTGGTCGTAAGCATGGTGCCTGCCAGGAGAGGATGGAGAAGTGAGCTCAGGCTCCCACAAGCCGGTGGGGCTCAGGATAGGCCTGGGGAGAGGTGCAGGAGAGTCGCGGGTGAGTGTGATGACTGCGGGCAGAGAGGGCCGCCCCGAGCCGGGAGCAAGTGCCACAGTAAGGTCCAGAGAGGCACACTTTTTTATTACAAAAAAAGATGAACTTCATATTAGTCAGCTTTCCATCACTGGCACCAAAGACCTGGGAAGACTCCCCAAAGCAGAAGTGCTAACCGCGGCTCACGGTCTAGAGGTCTCCGTCCGTGGCCACACGGGGCCAAGGCAGAGGCATTGGGGTGGGGGCGGGTGGAGGCAAGCTGCTCACCTCAGG